CCTCATGTCGTGGTGACCCCCAATCATAAAATTATTTTTGTTGTTACTTCATAACTGTAATTTTGCTACTGTTATGAATTGTAATGTAAATATCTGATATGCAGGATGTATTTTCATTATTACAAATTGAACATAATTAAAGCATAGTGATTAATCACAAAAACAATGTGTAATTATATATGTGTTTTCCGATGGTCTTAGGCGACCCCTGTGAAAGGGTCGTTTGACCCCCAAAGGGGTCACGACCCACAGGTTGAGAACCGCTGTATTAAAGGGTCTTCTTCAAGAATAATTTTTAATATCAAAAATATGACCAATAAAATGGCAATAAATACATACCTATCAACAATTAAATCTAAAACCCAAGTAAAGAAACAAACAGAACAGACTCATAGAAACAGAGAACATTTTGATGGGAGGGGATTTGAAGGGATGGGTGAAAAAAGTGAAGGAATTAAGAAGTACAAATTGGTTCTTACAGGACAGTCATGGGGATGTAAAGTACAGCTTAGGGAATATAGTAAATGACATTCTAATAACTATGCATGGTGTCATATGAATAAGAAATTTATCAGGATAATCACTTAGTAAGTTATATAATTTCTAATCACTGGGGTGTACACCCGAACCTACTATAATATTATACGATAACCGTAATTAAAAAGTAAAACTTGAAAACATGTATTCGCAAAGTTATATGCACCCCTATGTTCATTGCAGAATTATTCATGGTGGCAAGATAATGGGAACAACCAAAATGTCCTGCAATAGAAGACTGGAAAAGAAGATGTGGTACATACACACAATGGAATACTACTCAGTCATAAGAAAGGATGAAATACTACAGTTTGCAACAACATGGATGGACCTTGAGAATATTATGCTAAGTGAAATAATTCAGTCAGAAAAAGCTAAGAACCATATGACTTCCCTCATATTTGAGATATAAAACTGAAACTTGTGAACACAAACAGCAGTGTGGTGGTTGCCAGAGAGGATGAGGTAGGGATGAAGGGGGCCCTAATATATGGTAACAAGAGAAAATCTGACTCTGTGTAGTGGGCACACAGTGCAATATACAGATCTTGTAAGACAGAAACTCACTCCTGAAACATGGATGACCATATTAACCAATGTCACCCCAATAAATGTAATTAAAGAAATTTTTTAAATAAAAATATAAATGCAGGGAAACAAGAGGAAAAAAAAATAACAGTGTGATCTTGAAACCTGTGTTCCTGGAAGGAAATAAGCAAGAGTCTTTTATCACTTTTGTTTCAGGGGCAACAGAATGTTTGTCTTGGAGCCCAAGTACAGTCCTATTGAGTTTTTGTGATTGGGTACCATGAGGCTTCTTGACTTTAGCAGACGACCTCCCCAGAGACCCTCAAATGTCTTCTGGAAAGCATTTATCTTCTGTTGAAAAGGGAATTGAAATATCTAAGAGCTTGTACTGTCTTGAAGGGCAAGGAAAATTTGATAAAGTAGTTCCTTAGGATTAAAAATTAGAGCCTAGGATGCATGTTTTTCGTATTTAAAGTTCAGATGAGTGCTACTTGTAGTAAGTGGCTATCCATATCTTGTTCTTCTTGCTATGGTGTGCCAGAAGCTTCCCAGCCCCTTAATATTTCAGCTGAGATGGCAGAGGAAGTGATCTGTGCAGGATCACAAACTCTGGATGCTCTTTTCCCAGAAACCCAGTCCCTAAAAGTGGTTTTCATAAAATGTAGATGAGTAGACACTGCTCTATTGATTATCTGTTCCCAGAATGTTTGCAGTTGATGCTTGGGATTTAACTCAGAATAAACCAAGAGTTCTCAATCCAGAAGACATTACAAATGGGACCAAATTCACTGATAAGGGTGCACGTACTGACAATTCTGGACATAATGTATTAGTTCATGCAGTTATCTCAGCTTACTTGGTTGAATGAAAGAAACCAAGACTTAGTGGTGACCTTCATTTAATAAAGTTGAAATGTCACAGCTTCCCCGGCATCATGTGGAAGAGGAAATCTAAAGGCTTATTTAGAGTGACAAAAATATTGGAGTGGATTTACCACATTTGATCTGCACACCCACTACAATCCTCATAAGCTTTTTAAAAAAATATATTTTATTGGTTTTTTACAGAGAGGAAGGGAGAGGGATAGACAGACAGAAACATTGATCAGCTGCCTCCTGCACGCTCCCTACTGGGTATGTGCCGGCAACCAAGGTACATGCCCTTGACCAGAATTGAAAATGGGACCCTTGAGTCCGCAGGCCGATGCTCTATCCACTGAGCCAAACCTGTTACGGCCTCATATGCTTTTATATAACAAATGAGGTCTAGTCAGGGGGCAGAACCACATTAGCAACTTGAACAGGAAAATTTTATCATAAAGAATTAGTAACAGAAGATTAGCTACTAAGAGGGGAAAAAGAATACTAGAATAGGCCCTGGCTGGGTAGCTCAGTTGGTTAGAGCATTGTCCTGATATACTCAGGTTGGGGTTCGATCTCTGGTAAGGGCAGATACAAGAAGCAACTAATCAATGCATAAACAAATGGAACAACAAATCAATGTTTCTCTCCCTATCTAAAATCAATAAATAAATAAAAAAAAGAATACTGGGATAGAAAAGGAATGAAATTGCCACTTCCTGTAGAGCTATGGTAGAGTACTCTAAGATAAACTTGGAAGAGGGCCTCTCTCCTCCAAGCCCTCATTACCTAAGACTTAGCTTCAAACTCTATTGAAGAAGATGTGGCTGTTGCCCATTGAATGGCAGAGGAGCTCACTGAGGTATCACAGGTGAAAGTGAATGCCACAAAAAATTGCTGGGAACTCGCTAGCTGGGGCACCAGTAAAAGAGTTGGAAAGCCACCCAGTGGCATTCTCAGGCACTGAGGAAGCTGGACTGGGGGGGGGTTGGGGCTCGGCCCTGATAGATCACTCTGCAGGCAGGATGGTGGAGCAGGTGAGGGGGCGGCGCCAGGCCAAGGAGGGGTGCCAGGCAGGGCTGTGGGGGTGTGAGGCTGGGGGCATGAGCTGGGGCCCGATCTCCATAGGCCACCCCGAGGACCCACCCTCGCATGAATTTGTGCACTAGGTCTCTAGTAACTAATAATAAAGTAGAACAATTATAATATGCAAATGTGCTCGCTCTCGCTCTCTCTCTCTCTCTCTCTCTCTCTCTCCAATCATTTTATATTTTTCAGTCCAAACCTATTCTTGAATCTGTGTAACCATCCCTTACTTGCACTATATGGCTTGGTGTCACTCATTTCAGGGGATCCCTTGCTGAAGTCTCTGTATAGGTTCAATATCTGGTACAACACATTGCTGTCAATTGGACCACATTTTCTGTTTAGGTCTTTCACCGAGTAATTTAATGTCTTTTCTATCTTAACTAAGCACTTACCACACGCTATGGCCGTAACTTTTACAGTTAAAGTACAAGAGCAAAACTAGACAAATTTCTTTTTCCTGCTTCACAATTTCACTAATAAAAAATTCATTTTACTGTATATCTTAGCAACCTCAGGATACTTTTTTTAAATTTATTTCTAATGTCAAGACCGTTCACCTTTTCACTTAAAGAAAGCAATTTACAGCTTCTCTTTGGGATACCCAAATTGTCAGTATCACTACTCTTGCACTTTGGGACCATTATTAAGTAACATAAAGATTACTTGAGCACAGGCACTGCAATACCATAGCGGTCAATTTGATAACCGAGATGGACACCCAGTGACTAACAGGTAGGTAGCGTATACAGCCTGGATACACAGGGCAAAGGCGTAATTCACATCCCAGGTAGGATGAAGTGAGACGGTGCGAGATTTCATCATACTACTCAGAACAGACCATTAAAACTTATGAATGGTCTATTTCTATGGTTTTCCATTTAATATTTTCAGATGGCGGGTGACTAAAAGTAAATGGAACTGCAGAAAATGAAACCACAGGCTTACAATGGGGGGTCTACTGGAATGAGCTGTCTGCTGGGATGCCAGTGAAACTCACTATATGATGTTCACTGCTGAGTATCCTACATACAACCAGCAGCCATAGCATAAGAACAAGAAGAAAACACTGGAACCAGGAACAGAAAACCCTTCCATTCCAGTGTTTCTCTGGGACCCCCTTCTAACATGATATAACATTGTGCCAACTGTCAAAACAACAGAAAGCAGCCTAGTCGGTGTGGATCTGTGGTTGAGCTTTGACCTATGAACCAGTTAGTCACGGTTCGATTTCCGGTCAGAGCACGTGCCCAGGTTGCGGCTTGATCCCCAGTAGGGGGCGTGTAGGAGAAACTCGATCAATGATTCTCTCTCATCATTGATGTTTCTATCTCTCTCTCCTTACCTATATAAAATCAATCAAATCAATACACACACACACACATACATACACACATATTTTAAGAGGAGGATGAATTTAGAACTGAGAGGCATTAAATTGATTATTTGTACAGTTGGGGACATAGCAAAATAAAGTTGGCCTCAAGGTGATAATTACTGAGCCTGGATAATGGGTACATAAGATTATTATGCTATTCTATCTACTCTGTATATGTGAAAATTTCCATTAAAAAAGCTTTTCTTGCTTGCTTTTGATTTCCTAAAGCATGGGCTCTGGAGTCAACCTGCCAGACTTCAAATCCTGACCACTAACTGATGCACTATTTTAGGGCTGTGTTTCCCCATTTTAATAATAGTACCTACCTCATTAGAGGTATGGGGAGGATTGAAATAGATATTACATGCAAAGCAATTCGTGCAGAGCTGGTATGTTCTCAATAAATCTATTATTATTATTTTTATTATTTACTGGTGCTGACAGTTTTAATTTTTAAAATACATGATATTAGTACCACACCATAAAAATAAACATCCACAAAAATAGAACTTGGTAACTCATAATAAATTATTCCATAGACACAGGTGGTTTGACTTCTGGAATGCTACATATAGATTTGTTATAAATTTGTCCTTCAAAGAATAACTTACTTTGTCCTTGATTTTGTCAGCTCTAGCATCCAAAGGCTGGTTTTTGTTTTGATCCTGATTACATTTTCGATTTCCTCCACCTGAGCTTATACTTTTAGTTTGTCCAACGAACTGGAAGCAGTAGTGGATAGTACAGATGTGTTGATACCAGACACAGATGAAGTACTGTTTCCATTTATTGACCCATTTACACCTTGAAAAAATAAATAAAAATGTTTATATAATAGAATTCATTTGACCACATAAAAGAATGAAGTAATGCTATATGCTCTAATGTGATGATTCTCGAAAACATAATGCAAAGTGAAAGCGTCACAAATTGTACGATAAGATCTATGAGATATTCACAACACATAAATCCTTTTGGGATGATGAAAATGTTTTGAAACTACATGGAGGTGCCAAAACCGGTTTGGCTCAGTGGATAGAGCGTCGGCCTGCGGACTCAAAGGTCCCAGGTTCGGTTCCGGTCAAGGGCATGTACCTGGGTTGCAGGCACATCCCCAGTAGGAGATGTGCAGGAGGCAGCTGATCAATGTTTCTAACTATCTCTCCTTTCCTCTCTGTAAAAAGTCAATAAAATATATATATAAAAAAAAAACTACATGGAGGTGATGCTTACACAATGATGTGAATGTATTAAGTGCCACTGAATTATTCACTTTAAAATGGTTAATTTTACATTTATGTGATTTACACTTCAATTTTTTAAAACATCAAGAAATATAATTAAATGCAAACACTCATCCTTTCAAAGCAAACTCGCCCAAATACTACCTCAAGCAAAAAGAAAGATAATAATAAACCATCTAAATTGTTACTATAATTTGCAAATGATAGTCTAACAATCATGAACAACATAAATGTTAATAATCATTAAAGAAGAAGAATACTAGGATATTAGTTTTAATCAACTTAAAGCTTAATTACAGAAGAAGTAAATATTACGTGGGTTACATAAAAAAGCTAGTGAGATACAGAGGCAAAAGCAGCAGAGTTTGGAGTTAGAAGACCTGGATTCAAATCCTGTGATGCTAAGTGAATCTGTAAGCAACATTTCCTTAAATAATTTATTTAACCTTGGTTGCAAAAAACCCACTAAATGATATTTAACGTTGGTAGCAAAATGAGGATATTTCCAATCCCAAAGAGTTATTATAAGGATTAAGCAATGCAATGAAAGTGTCCAGCACAATACTTTATAAATGTTATTAAACTTGAACTCTACCGATAATACCTATTGAAGCAGAGGATTTTAAATACTTCATTTAAGTTAATACCTTTTTCAGGACCATTTCGATTACTTTTTCCTGTAGTCCTTGAATGGAATGAAGAAGAATCATGATTCTGGGCTGGAGGAGCAAACAGTGGTGGAATTCCCAGTAATGGTGGAAAGAAGGCTGCCCCTGTACGAGTATGAACATCTGCTGTTCGCCACCATTCTGCACCTCAAAACCAAACACCAAACAGACAAGCAAAAATATTTGGATTAACTTTCTAGTTAATGTAACAATGCTTTTTATCTTTTATTCCTGAAAAAAATGGTTACGTTTTAATTTGGAATAGAATTGCTGTATCTTTCTAATTGTAAGATTGCTATTTAGAAGTTATACATTCAATATTCTTCTCATTAAGATAGTATCCAGTGGTTGAGCATTGACCTGTGAACCAGGAAGTCATTGGTCAATTCCTGATCGGGGCACATGCCCGGGTTGCGGGCTCAATCCCCAGTATGGAATGTGCAGGAGGCAGCTGATCAATGATTCTCTCTCATCATTGATGTTTCTCTCTCTCCCTCTTCCTTCCTCTCTGAAATCAATAAAAATATATTAAGAAAAAAACAAAAAGATAGTATCCAGGAATCTTTGAACAGCAGCCTCCTTGAGTTCAACTTTATAAAGAACAAAGATTTTAAAAATAAAATGGAAAACGTGGAATATTAAAGATTTATTTGACTCTGGTGACTTTTACCATAATAAAAGAAAAAAAATATTTAACACTATACCAACCTATTTTAATACCTTAGGATTTTAGATTAGTGTTAAAAATTTCCTCAAATTATATATATCATAGATATGGCTCTGATAAATCAGGTTGTTTAAATAGTAATACAAAGAATACTGTTATCCAGTATACTTCACATGCATTTATGAAAGAAAAAGTTTTATACTCAAACAGAAACATAAAGACAGTAAAATCAGTAAGCCTTATTCTTTCTTTTCTTTTTCTTTTTCGGGCGGGGAGGGGAAGCTAAGAATAAAAAGAGCTCAAAGAAGATCTCAAAACAAGTAAGTCATATTAAAATAGAAAATATTTATAAAGTTTCTCCTTAAAGTTAATGAAAAAAATCATACACTTTGGCCATACTTCCTCTTATAAGTTACAAATAATAATGATTGTTTTATCACTGCAAAATGACTGAATGTAGAAAGTCATCAAAAATGTAATTTAAATGTTCAAATTGTGGCTCTCAGTTAAAACTTCTAAAAACATAGAGAAGCCAAATTTTATAGAATACATTTTTTCAAGGAAGGGTAAAGATTAAGAAAAGGTTTGAAAATAATCTAAAGGAAAGTCTTGTATTGCCCCTTCTAAAATCTCAGAAATGATCTTTTCCAACTGACTAATCTGCTAGATTACCAAATTAGTTATAACCTTTGAGGCTAATCTTTCAAGATATATGTAAGTGTTTTTCATCGATTATAACATCCATAAGGAAATCAGAGGGAAAAACCTCAACAATACAGCATGGGAAATTTTCCATATTGTCAGTATGCTATATTATATGGTCTTTAAAGCTTTTCTAGGAATATCACTCTCCATTAAAAATAGGATGTAAAGTGATGTGCACCTTCATTATCTAATGGCAAACCTGCTTTTTTTGTGTTGTTTTTTTTAAGTGACATGTTCATGGTGGCTACCATTCTGAAAGATCTAAAAAAACAGTATAAGCAAAAAACTGCAAAAGCTATTCTTCTGCACTGCGGGAAGGCGCTGCTGGTGAAATGACACCAATGTATATTCAGCAGTGCCTGAATGATGGGAACTCAACCAAGAATAACTACACAAAAGCATTAATCATTTATCCACTGTTTAGATGAAAGAAGTGTATTTAGATAGGAAGAAAAACTGTGTATTTTCGGCTTATATCAGCACAGTTGGAATCTATTGTTATTTGAAAACTAGGTTCCACATAGCTGACAAAAAGGGATTGAGGTTTTCCAAAGATATTTATATTATTTAATATAGAGTCTATAATGAAAACATTACAGTTGAATGTATAGACTTTGTAAACAACCAGAAAATTGGTAAGGCATTAAAAGTGTAGTAAGATTCGAATATTTTAGACATAAACTGAGGAAAAACACAAAAATGTACTTTAGAATGTCATTTGTACACAATAGGGACTAGAAAAAAAGACAACTGGAAAATGTGTGTAATAAATAAGCTGATATCGCAAGTAAAAAAAAACAAGGTCAATCGAATAAAAAGATAAAAATTGTAGGGCTGCTGATTACAAACTGTACAAATGTCTAATATTTCATAGAAAGTAACAATTTTTATTAAGTAACAGCTATTTATCTTTCAAATTGAAGAAAATAAAAAAATTTAGTCACTCACAAACTAGCTTGTTTGTAACGTGCTATGTACAAAATAAGGATTACATAAACCAGCACATGATTTCTAAATGTATTCAAAGGAGGTAACAGCATAGAGCAACATTCATTAATCATATTCAACTGAAGGATTCCAGTATTTCAGAGACTATGCTAAATCTCAATTAGAACCTAGAAGATATAGTAGAATTTTAAAATCTTTCATACTTGAGAGCCAGGTACTTCACAAAATTCATGGCAATATAATATAAAAATGTAATAACCAAAATTGTATATTTTTAAAGAAATCACCATGAAATACAATTTCAATATTAAATAAAAACAATTTTATTATACTAATGTCCATTAAATATTGCACCTGTTGATTTAATCATTTGAAATGCAGAATAATCTACATGTCCATAAAAATTTAAAAATAAATTCTTACTCATTTAAAATTCCTAGTAATTCCTTCCCTGTGTGTCTTCATTTATCAGGTCATTTAAAAAATTTGGCATTTTGATTACCCTTTTGAATAAAGCCAACAATACAGAATTTAAATTTGTTATTATAGCAAACCTGCAACTTAAACATGTCTTCTATAAATAGGCATAGTCTCTGTTCGTTTGACAAAATAGTATTCTTCTACAGTCATACTTTTATCACTAAAGACTGTGTCTGATAACTATCTGTTAATCCATCTCCTGAAAACTATAAACAACATTAATATATACTACGGTAGTGTATTTCAAACTGTTTGGCTTAGTGCACATAACATACTAAATTAATGAAAAGTTTATGTAGGTTAGGGGAATCAGTTTTTTTCTGTACAGTGGGAAGTATTAGCATTGTTGAAGTCCAGAGAAGTAGTTCTTTAGACTTGTTAACCATCATTCCAGTGCAGAAGGTATTGGATTTTAATAATAGAGTAATTACATTGTTCGTTTAGAAATGCTCAAAAGCAATACTCCAATAAACCATGAAACAAACAAATTTAAGGTATCAGTAATTATCTATATTAATATCACCTATTTTTATTTTTATTCAGCAATCCTATGTTTCAGAAAATATCTGTTGAATGCTTATCTTGCTAAACAACCATTCTAGAAACTGACTGAATTAAATTTCTATTAGTGTTTTTTAAACAAATGTTAAGACTTAGTTTAAGACTTTATTTTAACTTTCTACTCACACTACCTCTCCCCACAATTCCTTCTTCCAGACAACTGAATGAAAGGAATAATATGATTCAAAAGACAGTACTTGAAATATATAACCATCTTTCCATCATATATATAGAAGCACTTCACAATTTATTACCCATTAAAGTGGGCAAGAGAAAGTACTAATGATAATTACTAATTATGTACGGATTATGTGTGCCAAATGCTTCACTCAGCACTAACATGGCTTATCTGCTCTCATCTTCATAGGTACTATTATGATGATGATAACCTCATGTCTAGGATGAGGAAACTATGGCTGAGAGGTTAGATTACTTGTTCAAAGTCACACAGCTAAAACACAGCAAAGCCAAATTTAAATTCAGGTTGATTTGTGTCTACATTTATGCTGATTTTTAAACAACCCTAACTAAAATTTATTAAAGTAAAATTAATCACTGGAAACACTTAAAGTTTAGTTTTCAAAATAATATAACAAGACAAATTATAGCATGTTTGTGTAAGTTAAACTTTATTTGGTGTCTTACTGAATTCTCATAATCTATAGAATTTGGGATAATTCTGGTCTTGCTGCCACATATGTGGTGCAGATCTAGAGTTGTTTTGATTGATTATAAAAGAATATATAGAAATTCAAGAGCCAAGCTCATCTTCCTGACAAAGTGCAGAGAAGTGAGAACTCAAAATAACATTTCTGAGATGTTTATTATAAGCACTAGACTTTAGTTTTCCAGTATAAGCTATTTTTCACATCAAAGCTGAGAAAAAAAATTATCAAAAACACGAAGAAAACTTAGCTTAATTATTCACTTTTGATGCAGATGCCGATTTCCCTAGCCAAACACTTAAGTATCTAACTGCATTGCCACCTAGCACACATAGTGTGGTGTTGGTTTGTTTTTCTTTGCCCATGATAAATAGGATTGAGCAAATTCTTGCACAAGAGTTTTAATATACCAGGCATTAGACTATTTCTTTTTGTTCAATTTAATAAATTACTGCTTGAACATTTTCAAGCTTTCCTTCTTTCCTTGAACACTGTTTGTAACAGATGTTTACCTGGAAAAGATGCTAGTTGGGGATGTGCGGCTAAGGCTGTGGGTGTACCAAGTGTCCCCAAACCACCAAATTCTGAATGCCCTGAGCTGGCTGAATGTAGACCAAAGACTGGGTGGCTGACCATTGGGAAGGCACTCGACACTGTGGACAGGTTAAACGGTTGATCCCCAGCTGCTCTGAATAAATGTCCTGGGAGGGAAAAGAACACACTTAAAGTTGGACTATAAAAACAGATGAGATCTGATTTCAGCATTCATAAATTAGATAAAATTTTATACTTTCTTATTTATTATATTTTTATCTTACATTTTCTTTTGCATTTCTATTCATCAAACCCTACAGAATAAGATGTTTCTACATGAAAGTACTCTGGTAAATGTAATTAAAATAAATGGTATAATCGTATTTACTTTGAATTTGAGAAATGATGCTTTCAGCAAATAATTTTCACTCGTTATTGTGTTTTGACCTGCAGAAGTGAGTGAACTTTCTATTAATAAATGTACATTAATGTAGTATTAAAATGTTTTCACTCGTAAGGAAAATAAAAACATCTTATTAATATAAGGTTCAAAACCAAAGAAATAAGTCCAGAATCTGTCACCAAGT